GGATCTCTAGGGCATGCTGGACTATTAGTCTAGCCAAATCAGTGAGCTCAGGTTCAGTTAGAAGCTACCTTAAAAATGAGTTAAAGAACAATTGGGGAAGATACTTAATGTCAGCCTCTGGTCTGAACTCTCAAATCCATCCATAACTACATACAGACTCCCACAATCATGCATCTCCACACAAGCATACACATACCTTAACACATATAAAGTACAGAATATAGAATATGTTAATAAATACAGTTGTTATAAATTGTAACTTTGTAAAGATTCAATTTCTAATCATACAATTACTTTCTGGTAGTTTAGCATATATGTATTATGAGTATTATTTATGCACAGTAGTCAAGAGAAGGGGTTAAAATTTTCTCAATACAACTGTTGGTTGCCTGCAAAAATATTGAAATAATATAATTGGGATGTGACATAAAATAGATTTACTCATTCAAGTATCACTTTCTTCACCTTTGCTTTATTTATTTTCTGGTATAGGATGGTCTTGTTATATAATTGTCTTTTGAAAAAATAAGTATCTAACAGATGCAATTTAAGGAAGGAAGTATATGTTCCTTTATGTCTCCTGGTATGCAATCTGTCAAGCCCAGGGCTTTAATGGTCACAAGAAAATGAGTTGGCAGATCACATCATGCCCTCTGCCGAGCAGAGGATCATGAATATGGGTCCCCATGTTGCTTTCCCTGCCCCTTATTTCTTTTCAAGGAAGGGTCTCTATGTGTAACCCTGGCTACCTGGAGCTCACTCTATAGACCAGGATGGTCTCAAACTCAGAGATCTGCCTGCCTCTGCCTCCCAAGTGCTGACAATAAAGGCGTGCGCCACCACTGCTTTTCCATTTATAACTAGTCTGAGACCTCAGCCTGTGTGGTCATCCCACTCACATGAATGAAGTCATCCAACTTAGTCAATTAAGTTTAGATAATCTCTCACAAGCGTATCAAGAGATTTCTTTCTGAAGTGATTCCTAGTGACATCAAACTGACTATAACGGTGATCTATCACAATAGCATAAAAGGGACTTTAGAGATTTCCTCCTATTGTGTATGTTTTCACTGGGAAGGAAAAACATCTTGTCCCATAGATCCCCCTGTCTTATCTATGAGTGACTTATTTGGTTGTCAATTTAAAGAATGATTTAAGATGTTTATATGTGTTTTGAAAGCCCATGAAATGAGGATAAGTCAATCACAATATAGATAATCCAACTCTGACTTTTCCAGTTTTCCTTCCTGCATCTCTGTAAAGCATCCATTTTGACATATTTCATATTCTCTAAAGTCCAGTCAAAACAGAATCAGCATCTAAACCCCTTTCATACTAGAATTTTGAACCATTTACTAACTGAATTATGAACCTAGAAGTGATAAATCTATGTGCATGACTGAGTATCCTTGTTTATTTATAATGTTATCAGAGAAAATATAATTCAGTATGAAAGTAGCAACCCAACAGGTTTTTACATGTCCAGACGCTAGACTCACAAATCGTCTCATTAGGAAACTTCTCAGGACTTTCTGAGGGCTTGTTCAGTTTTGGTAAATGCAATCAGAGTGAGCAGAGAATTTTCTTCCCCAGTTTGCAGATGTGCATTATAATAAGAGTAAGTCTTTACCAGCATAGTGCTGTGTGACTGAAGATTGGTCACTATGTCTGTAGGATGTGGCCGCCAGATGCTGTTGCGATAAGTGACACATTACAATGAACATCACTAATGTGCACAATAAAAATGAGCTATTTTAAAGTACTAATAGCAATTTTTAAAAGAAATTAGAAAATATTATTATGAAGCCAAGGAGGTCAAAAGCCCTGACTTCTGAAGTCACGTGCTCATATAAGCATGCTTCAGCCAAGAACCTGTATGCTCTTTCTGCTTCCCCCCAATCTTGCAAAGGATTGATTCTTTTTTTTTTTTTAGTGCTAAAGAGTTGCTTAGCATATTAATCAGATTTCTCCTTAAATGAGAAACATGGGCATTATTGCATTTAGGTTCTGAAGCTCCTTTATTTATTCTTTAGAGTGAAATGAATGAAAGAAAATAATGAAGGAGATTTAAGAAATAGAATGAATGCAAGAGCCTCTTCTGCTGATATTCATTCTGTCTGCTTCTTATATTGAGATCTGGGTGCCCGAAAGAGGCTAATGGGTCTGATGAGGGTTTTGAGAAGAGTTGTATTCTGCTATGCTATACATATCAGAAGAGAAATGGTGAACTTAATGTCAGAGAAGTGAGCATAACACATTTAATCAAGATGCTGAGCAGTAACAGGCAACTGAATTCCCAGACACTAGGGAAACTGAGGCAGGAGGATGGCAGAACTCCAGACAAGACTGTACTGCATGACAAAACTTTTTCACATAAAATAAAACTGAAAAGGATCAAAAGGAAAGAAGAGGGAAAGAGAAGGAAGAAGATGAAGGGCAGGAACATAGAGGTATACAAGGAAGAGGGAAGGACAGGGGCAAACTTGGCACAGCTTGGCATAACTCACTGAGACATGCCACCCTTCATGTGAGGCAGATGGACATCTCTGAGGTTGACCTAAGCCTTTTGTCAGAAGGTCTTCTCTGGTTGTTAGAAAATTTTATTGCTTAATTTTGTTGTAAGGCGTCTCATATGTCTTTGATAATGAGGCAGGATATACAAGCGAGTCAAACAAATTGCTTCATGTAGCTCTGCTTAGTACCATCATTCTTAGAGGCAGATACATCCTTAGGAAACAGTGTTTGCCTTTGCAGCTAAGCTATGTCCAATGTGACCTAAAATAAAGGGTAACAAAGGCAGAGAAAATTTATACATTATCACAGACCCATAAACAGCAACACATCTGAAAGAATGTCAGCTCCCACCTCTTACTTACTTCTGCCTGGTCCTAGAAGTCTTGTGCCAAAGAGAATGGCAGTATTGTATTCCTTCATTCATTTAGTCAGTGGACATTGAAGCATTGTCAAATGACAGACAGAGGGAGAATGTTCTCAAAATAAATGTTTCCAGAATAATGTCAACAGCGCTAACTAGATTGTTTTTTATTGAGCATTCAGTACATGCAGAGGGACTGGGGAATCCTGTGCAACCATTTGCAAAGCATATGAGTCCCATTTGGTGTATAGTTCACTTATGTGGGCACAGCCCTGCCTTTTTCTTCTTGGATTCCAGATTTCTTCTCATGGAAACTTGAATTTGGGACCCATTATTCTTCGTAGGGCTCAAAAAATACTGTAAGGTAAGGCTTCTCGTAAGCCTCCATCTAGCCACACATCAGACTCTAAAATATCTTTTCTGTCTTAGGGAAAGCAGACTGCACTGTCTTGTTTGGAAGGATCATCCAAACAAGGTATGTCCAGACATTGTGGTGGATGAAAAATAGTGGTAGTCATGGCCTATAAGTTTTGAAGTTATAAGTGCCCGATTGAGTGGCATAATACTCTGCATTAAAAACCTTTAGCTTTCACAAAATGTTCTTGTATTGAGGGGAACATTTCCTCCATGATTAAATCAATCTTCTCTTGCCCCTTCATGAACCCGTATCAGGCTCGTTAGGAAGGCTACTGATCCTTATCTCTGGGTAATGCTTCAGTAGAAGGCTGTTCCTCTTGCTTGGAAACTGAATTTTCAATTCTTATGGTATCCCATCCCCTGCTGACCTACTGAAATGAAAGACTAGGAGTCATGATTAAATCTAATTTTCCCTCATGTAGTGGTGGGATGAGCTGGGTCAGCAGGGCTAAACCTTGTAGATGGCTTTAAAATACCTTTGTGATTTGATCTCCTTGCTGTCCCATCCATTTCTGTACATGCCTGTCAATGTCAACCTTTACTGCCATGACAAGTTCCCAAGTGAGGACAGTGCAAATGAACAACCACGTTTTTGTGATGCCTCTTGAGAGTGCTGCTTATCAAATGAGTCAGGCAATGAACCAAGTCTGGCTTGTAAATGACAAGATAAGTTAGCCCATTTACAGGAAGCAACTATTGCTGTGGTTTAACCCGTACAAGCACATCACTGTGCGTTCACACCCTGGCAATAGCCATGTGAAATCTGCATCAGCTCACACGTTCAGCATTATATTTGTTTTGGAATAAGCTGAAAATGCCTTTCTTTCATTCTTTAAGCTCTATCTTGCTTTCTCAGAAAATCTCTCTCTCTCTCTCTCTCTCTCTCTCTCTCTGTGTGTGTGTGTGTGTGTGTGTGTGTGTGTATGCATGTGTGCATGTGTGAGTGTATGCACATGCATGCATGCAGACACATACAAAGGGATGGAAAATGCATTTCTGTGGTGCCATATATTTGAAGGACCTTTAGATATCACTTCAGGAATCATCGGTACATTTTGTGGTGTGCCCAGTAGTGGTACTGTCCTTGCCTATCAGCCTATCATTTATGCTTATGTCACTTGGATTCAAAGACCTGGGAAAGAGCAGAAAGGAAGATTAGTTTGAGGCATGCTTCAGAGGTTACACGAATTTCCTCATGCTCTTGGATACAGCATCATAGTGGTGGGGACATGTGTGGTAAAAATCTGTTCATCTCCTTATAGAAAAGAAGCAAAAAGATCAAGAAGGGACTTGGGGATAAAGTATAACCTTCAATCAAAGACATGCCCCAAATCTCCTCCTTCCTCTATCTAGACTATTGGCTATAGTGCCAAGCATCTGTGGACCAAGCAGTCTATGTATAAATCTACTGATCTATTTTATGTTTAACCCATAACACTTGCATTAACACATCAACTGTAATAGAACAAGTAATTTGGTCTTATTGTGGTAAGTCACAATATCTACAGGTGATGAAAGTTGTTGCAACTGTATACCATGATTAACTAACTGTTCGGTTTGGGCTGTGGTTCAGGAGTTTCATGGATCTTGGCCTTTCCTTGCTAATAAAGTATATTTTTGAAAAACATGGGGTGACTGGTTTTTATTCTAATGACCAACAGAGGTGTATATTTTCATTCTGGAGAAAACAAAATTGTTTCTTTTTCAGATTGGAAGTATGAAGTTGCAAACATCTTTCCTCGGAGTGAAGAGGGGGTAGAAGTGGACTCTCAAGCATACAGCCACAGGTGGAAAAGAAACATGGACCCTTTTAAGGCAGTAGACACAAACCGAGCCAGCATGGGCCAAGACTCTCCAGAGTCCAGAGGCTTCACTGATCTGCTGCTGGATGACGGACAGGACAACACCACCCAGATCGAGGTAAGTAAATATTCTGGTTAATTGATTTCAGTCAATTGTTCATTATTTTCTATAACATAGTAGAGCCCAGACTCTACTATACTTGATCATACGCTGTGCCTTTTGAGATTTGCTTTTAAAGAACAGTATATATGTGTGTATGTGTGTGCATGTGTGTGTGTGTGTGTATGTGTAATAGCTAGCCATTGGTTTATTTATTCATGAGAGAGGATGGGCAGTGGAGACAAAAAAGAAAGAACACAGCAGGTCTCTCTGTGAATCCACTGTCCAGAGGGTCAGACCATCATAACTAGATTATACCTATAGTAGTTGACATCTTTGAAAAACACACATCAATGTGACTTGCCATAGGGTGTGCTGAATTCTCCTTGGGATAGCAGATCAGAATGCTAACAGAATTTTTGCCCAGGAATGAATGTTTACACAGGAGTTTGGTCAATTATGAAGAGTTTACTTAGTTTATAAACTGTCAGCGAGAAGTGAGACAAGCATTCCCGCTAAAAGAACCATATCTACAGGTGATGAAAGTCGTCGCAACTTCATACCATGGTTAACTAACTGTTCGGTTTGGGCTGTGGTTCAGGAGTTTCATGGATCTTGGCCTTTCCTTGCTAATAAAGTACATTTTTTGAAAAACATGGGGTGACTGATCAATCTTCAGTGTTAATTCATCACCTGTTGTGCTGGAGTCATGAGGTAGTTGAGAAGGGTACTTTAGAGTAGTTGAATGAGTGTGATGTTGCAGGACATATTTGAAGCAGATTTCAGGGTTGCTTCAAGGCCTCACAGGAGGTACAAGAGTTCTAAGACCCTTAAAACTAAAAGCCATGAAAATATTATATTGATTGGGAAATATGTCTAACAAAATCGATGTGAACATCTTTCAGGAGAAAGCAAGGACCATCAAGATGAGAACAAACTTTGGTTTGTTATAGAAATAGGACTGGCTTACCATCTCTTACCTTTGTGAAAAATGCATATATGAATGTGTTTAGTGAAGAAAGGTAAGACCTCTGGTGGTCTGTGAGCAGAGGCTGTTGGCTGGGAGGCTGTTGAACTAATTACAAAGACCATAGTAGTTTAAGAGTTGAATAGAATTTGCTTTTCTATGATTGATGCTTTGTTGAATAAATGGACAAAAAGCAGAAACTCTCAGCTCTGCATCTCTCTCAGACTATGCATGCAACTTTAGCTGAGGTCAGGGCAATGATTTTTTCTTCTTGGACTAGTTGTTGTAGAGTTTAGGATGAGAATTGGGGTGAGTTATGTGGTCCAGCCATTGTCTGTTTGCATATCTTTTCTCCATTTGACATTTTAGATGCCATTTTCCCCACAGTAATAGACTTATCATTTCTCAGAACCCAGAATCTGTCTTTTCACTCTGTTCCATTTCCTAGTATACTCATTAATTGGGAGATACATCAGTTTCATGAAGCAGATGCTCTGCCATCCTGCAAGAAGAACTGAGGTAGGATTTTTGATTCCTCATAGTCAGAGGAATCCTCCAAACTATAGACTGCTGGAAGTGTATGTGTGAGAGGCTTAATCATGACCAATGGCTTCTCTATGGCCATACCAGGTATACTTTTCCCTCTGTGCCCCTACAGACCCTCTCATGTCAGGCAGTGTTATGCAGGCACTGGTCTCTTTTGTTTTCTGTTGCTATGATAAACTCTGATCAAAAGTACTTGGAGGGGATTGAGTAAGGCTTTATTTCCCTTGTACTTCTACATTGCAGTTAATTTCTTAGTGATGTCAGGGCAGAAACTCAAGCAGAGTTGGAGACAACATTTTAATCAGAGACCATGGAAGAACACTGCTAAATGGATTGCTTCCCTGGCTGGCTCAGCTAACTTTCTCACACAGCCAGAGCCCACTTGCTTAGAGAGGCATTACCTGCTATGGGCTGGGCCCTGCAAAATCAATCCACAGTTAAGAAAATCCCCCACTATTATACCCATAGGCTAGACTGATGAAAGCAGTCCCTCAACCGAGATTCCTTCTTTTGTGGTGACTCCAGTTTGTATCACCTTGACAAAACTAACCAGCACAGGCACTGAGAAAGTACCATTCCTAAAAGAGGTATTTCTGTATCCTATGGAGTAGTCTGGCATCTTGAGAATGATATTGGTATAGCAACTTGGAGTTGCAGCTTTGGCCCCTCTCTTAGAGACAGCCTCTAAATAGGGCACAAAATGGAGAAAGGAGAACTGAACTGAGTGAATCAGAGTCATACACTCACGCAGAGTGCGGATCCTGGGTGATACATAGACACACAGAGTAGGCTACATAGAGTCTTTTTTTTTTTCACTTGTTCACTTTACAACTCCTCCTGGTCAACCCCTCCCACAATCCTTCCCAGATCTCCCCTCCCCTTCTCATCTGAGCAACTGTGGGCTTCTGGGTATCCCACCTACCCTGGAACTTCAAGACTCTGCCAATTTAGGTGCTTCCTCTCCCACTGAGTCCATACAAGGCAGCCTAGCTAGAAGATCATACCCGATGTATAGACGACAGCTTTTGGAATAGCCCCTGTTCCAGTTGTTCAGGACCCACATGATGGTCAAGTTGCAAATCTGTTACATTTGAGCAGGGAAGCCTAGGGAGCACCAAGGGTCCAGGTTAGTTGACTCTGTTGGTCTTTCTGTGGAGTTCCTATCCTCATCTGGGCCTACAATCCATCCTCCTCTTCTACCATAAGAATCCACAAGCTCTGTCCATTGTTAGGCTGACAACACAGATTTTTGAAGATGACACTGTGATCTCTTCTGGGAGCTGCTCCTCTTGTTCAGGGCAAGGTATGGTAACACTCTTCAAAGTGTATTCCTGTTGTCACTGAGCATATTCCTTAGAGATGGAGACCCTGCTCAACATGACTAAAGTCCTAGATAAATCCCCAAGCTTGATAAACATCATACATTGTGTGTATATATGTGCACATGCTGCTTGTTATTTTACTTTTTCATTATGCTTTTTTATTTTTTTTATGTTTTGTACCTTAATAGTGTCAGACAGCAAAAGGTCAGGTGTTTTGAGTTGGTGAAACATAAAGGAGAATACAGAAAACCACCTGTTGGAGACTTCCATGAGACTTAAGATCAACTAGGTGCTCAGAGGACATGGGTTCCTTTGGCTCTGTCTGGCTTGTGTCCCCAGATATATGGACAAACTCAATGACTTTTTAAAGGTTTTCCCCTTCCAACATTTTAGTTTAGTGTTTACTGAATATGTTCTGTTTGTTATTAGAGGGACTGGAATTCAAATCCAGACCTGCCAGCCTCTTCTGAACCCTGTTCCTTTCTAGTTCATTCAGATTCCTCTAGTGAAAAGAAAGACAAAGGCATTTGTGACATGCAATGACTCTAGACAGGCAGTCCCTGAATCCCATGTGAGAGTAATGTTAGCATTCATGTCTCCATCATTCTTGAAGGAGACTTGTTTTGGAGCTTCAGTGTGCCTAACATACTAGATATCTTTTTCTTAAAATGTGTTTATTTTAATATGTTTTGGAGATTTGATGAATCTGATTAGGTATCTAAAGTAGCTTGAGTCATTCCTAGGAACTACTTTGAAAAAAGAATTTATATGTGAAAGCTTTCTGGAAAGTTTAAGTTTTGCTGATGCTTGACACATATTTTTGGTCAATGTCACATATCTCTTGGGAGGAAAGCTTGTTTGCATGACTGCTTATATAATAACAATAATAATAAAAGCAAGCATTTTCAGAATGTCTACTCTTTAGGTGGGTGGGAACCTGAGAAGATTTTGCCTGTCTTTTAGATATAAGCATTTTTTTAAATTGAAAATAACAAATGATATATTTGTGTGTGCTTTTTTCCTTTCTTTTGTGCCTAAGTCAACATCAGAGACTAAAAGTCTGTCTATTAGTCCTGATTCTAGTGGTAGCTGTTAAAATTATATGCCTGTAAGATTATATCATTTTACCTGCATTGCCTAGTTTTTTTCTATTCTCAAGACTATAAATCTCTAAAGAACAAAAACACAAGGAATGAGAGGATATTAAGTATTTTAGCACCAAAGAATCTAAAATAAGAGAAATTGGTTATTATCTCAACTTTACTCTTGGGAACAATATTTTTATGGCTTAATTTGGTACCCAACCTGAGGTGTCTGTAAGCTGCCTCTTAAGTGTGTTACTTTCTTTAATGGTTTGGGGGATATGGAATGTGATGGGACTCTTGAGTAAATTGGATTCGATCTACCATTTGCCTTGCCTAAGCAGACTTCAGTTTCTAGGTGGCTCTGAGAACACAAGGACAATGAAAGCAGGCAGGAGATGTAGCTACACCTGGAAGCTGGCTACAGCTCCACCTGGAAGCTGGCTATGGTTTGTTTGGCAGCAAGGAGCTATTCTAGTAAAAGTAACCCCTGACAGAATGGTGCAGGCCTTCCCAGTGTTTGTTGAGAATTAATAAATATTCCACAAAGCTCACTTTCAACAAGTTGTTCCTGCTGGACAGGGCTGGAATCTATTAGTGCGTTACTTTAGAAGTATGGGAGAGAAATCGAAATGCAGTACATGTTGGGGGTCAAATAGAAACCTAGTGCAATGGAAATTCCCTGGAATCTACAGTGTTACCCTAGTAACGATTTCTAGTAATAGGGATACAGAACCTGAACCAGATATCTTCTGTAATCAGACAAGACTTCCAGTGGAGAAAGTGAGAAAACAATCCAACCATAAAACTTTTGACCTACAATTTGTCCTGCTACAGTACTGCTAGAGATAAAGGTGGTGCAGACTTTGTAGGAGGGAATAAACAAAGACCTACATAGTAAGAAGTCCATGCTGATATTGCCTGGATGGGTAGGAACCAGAAGCTGAATATCCCAGAGACTAGGATAAAACCAAACATGACATGCAAACAAAAAGAGTCAATTAAATGATTCCTAATGATATTTTGCTATGCCATAGACTGGAGCCTAGCATAGTCATCACCATAAAGAATTCATCCAGCAACTAATAGGAGCAGATGAAA